GTAGAATCAGGGACCCAGGACAATAGTTTGCTAGGGACTCGGCGAGTGGAGATCCACTCGGCGAGTTGGGTCAACTAAAAGTTGACTTCGATTTGACTTAGGGCTAGACCAGGGGTAAAATGGTCTTTTTACCCAAAGGACAGTTAGCAGTGTATGATTAAGTATATTGTGGGAATTACAGCCGGGGAGTTTCCGGAGCAGCAGCAGCAGTAGTAGGTGATCAATTCCCACACAGACCAGCAGCTATTTCGAGGTGAGTTTCCTTCCAGTAGTAACGGGTCTAAGGCACCAAGGCCGGCCCGTATAGATGAGACGTTAGTATTATAGTGTGGGCCGAGCCCGTATCTATTAGTTGAGTTGATTGTGTTATATACCAGCATGATAGAACTGTTTACACTTGTTGTCTGTGCGATACTTGTATGATATGAGTTGGCGGTTGAGTGTGGGCGGGCCCGTATCTCTCCGAGAATGGAGTGTGGGCTAGGCCCGTATCTCCCAGGTAGCGAAGTGTGGGCGGGGCCCGTATCTTCAGAGTGTGGGCTGGGCCCGTATCTTCACGCGGGGCCCGTATCTCTCAGAAAGTGAGGTGTGGGCTGGGCCCGTATCTTCACGAGTGTGGGCGAGGCCCGTATCTCCTAATTGCATGTTATATGTTAAATGCTTGTATGGTATGGGGTATTATGGGGGAGCTCACTAAGCTTTGTGCTTACGGTTTCAGTTTTGGTTTCAGGTACCACCTCAGCTAGAGGAAAGGAGTCGGCGCGGTAGCAGCATGTCACACACACACTCTTCGGTTTCCGCATTTACGAGATTCACTGGGATTGTACTCTGATATTTGATGGGATGTATGGTTTGACTTTTAAAACATGGTTTGCGATGTGTTATGGTGTGATCAAACAATGTTTTTATTTATTAATGTTTTCTAAAGTAATATTTTAAAATGAAATTTTTGGACATGAAAATTGGGTCGTTACATAGTTCGATCATGCAAAAGGAAACAACTCAAAGTTGAAGAGTTTTCGGAATTCCCGTTTTTGAAGATCTTGCATTAGTGTTTGGACGATCCCTTGAGAATTAACCGTTGGATCATCGTGAAATTTGGGGTGCCTCCTCCCAAGACATATATAAAAGTTTTTAATGTTGGGATTTGGGTTTCAAATTCTGGAGCTCAAGTTACAGATCGTCGATCATGGAAGAAGTTTTAGGGTTGTTGTCGAAATCGTTTTCGGTGCAAAGCTTGTATGGGGTTTTCAATCTCAAAAGCATAGGTATGATTTCTTCCTCATTGATTTGAAAATACTGTAGGACCTAGAGCTAATTTGTTACAAACTTGGAAGGTTTTAATTGAATTTGGGACCTAATGGGTTAAGTGGATTGAACCGTAACCCTAGTTTTATCTTTCTGAAAAATCCATTGTTCTGTACCATTGTTGTAAATATCATAACTGATTCTATATACATCGTTTTTGGATGAAACCAGTGCCCAAAGTTTCATTTTGGAGTGTACTACATTTCATTAGTTTTGACCGAAATTCATAAATGCCTGTAGCTTAGGTAAAAATGACTATTTATCCAAACTTGTCCGGAATGATCTATTATGCGAGACAGTTTTGTAAAATTTGTCATAAATCATAGAAAAATCTTATTAAGGTGTGCAAGTACTACTTTTAAATTTAAGGAGATGATCTATCTTCATCTGATACAGTTTTGAAAAACACAGAGATTAAGGTGGGCAAAACAGGTCCTGAACGGACCCTAATTTTTATGTAGAAATCTGGAAACTTTACCCATTAGTTATATTCATAATTAAGGTAATTTAATAACTAAAACCATCTCAATTTATTCTTATTAGGAGGTGTTAAGGGCAAGCAGGTGTGAGTGAGTTTCGGGTTTCTTTGGAGGTTGCTTTTCTTTTGGAGGTGAGTTCCTCACTACACCGTGTTGTGTTATATCTTCTTTACATTAGCTTGTGTGCTATGTATTGTATTATTTATGTGGGTATTACTAGGCGGGGTAGACTCTAGTGGTTTGCCTCAAGTATTGAGAATTATGCATGGTAGGACTCGGCGCATCCGAGTGGGGATCGGGGGTAGCCAATGTGTCCCAAACGCTTGACGAACTGAGCAAGGGGGATCGGGCATGTCCAATGTGTTCTAATGGGTTCGGGTACGAGGAATCGGGCTTAGCCAATATGTCCTAAGGGCTTGATGCATTAAGCAAGGGGGATCGGGCCTAGCCAATGTGTCCTAATAGGAGTATGTCTGTTACTGATTCGTTCGTTGACATGCATGCGTGTTTATGTGTTTGATACCGTTTGTATCCGTATATAGGGGTAAAGACTATATGATATGATACTGTGTATGTGTTGAATTCACTGAGCTTTGTGCTTACCCCCCTTTTCCCTTAAAATTACTATTTCAGGTACACATGATGGTCGGGCATGATTGTACACACTGGCTTGAGGCGGGTTTTTGGAACTAATATTGGATTTGTTGTCTTTTCATAAATTTTAGAATTATAACTAATAATGTTCAGAAACATAATCAATCTTGGGGTTTGGTATTTCATTTGTTTTGAATAAAATATATTAAATGGATGATTTATGTTGTTTTAAAAAAATTCAAATCTATTGCAAATTTTGGGATGTTACATGGATGTCGGCGTTCTTTATATGTACGAAACCCTTGTGAAATATACTATAACCTGGTTAAGATTATTTATTCTAAATAATCTTCTATGAAAAAGTCATTTTTGACGCTTATTGTCTCTAAATTGTGTAGCCCAAATTTGCGGGCGTTACAATTATCTCGCCCCTTATGATGATTATGTATCAGAATCATCAATGAAACATGGCTTGTATAATGACTCTATACGCCATCTCTTCATCTTAGGTAATAACTGTAACCTCTATGTTCCTTTGAATGAGGATCTGACTTTTGGACTTCTTGACTGAAGGCGGTGCTCAATCTTGTACCTGCTTTTCATACTATGTTAGACTTTCAATTGTAACCTCCGAGTTACAAAACCAATCCTTATTGGAGACTCCTACTTCTTCTTAAACAGACTTAACTGTAGAGAAGTTCTTTACTTCAATTATCATGAGAGACCGATAAGCCATGATCTAATGACCTTTCGTCGTATGATGCAACGCTCAGATTCAGGTCTTTTTGACATAAGATAATGAGATAGTAAAGGGTGACATTCGACACCCATCAACATGTTCACGTAATCACCAAAACATGATTGCCTAAACATCACCCTACAAACTGGACGGTTTTGTAAGCGTGCCATGATTTCACGTCGAAGTTCAGGTTTGCAGGTTGTAGTAACAACCGCTTCATATTTTCTATCGTGCTACAATAAAAGGAATTATTAATTAGGGATTTTTGTATGTATGTTTTGGAGCGAAATTAAGGTGCTTGATTGTATTATGGAATTAGGGCTTTTGATTGTATTCTGGAATTAGGATTTTTGTATGTATGTTCCAGATTCCAAAAATCGGGTATGATATTCCAGACCATAAATTCCAAACTCAGTTCATTGTATTCCAAACATGATTTTCGGATTCCGGACACACTCCGGGCTAGCGAATTTGATAACGATGTATCATGTAGTATAAATGTGTAAGTCCATGTAATCCTATAATTGCCTTAGTACAATTAAAATTCAGAGAAAACCATGTAATACCTATATAATTGCATAAACTAAACATTTTAACATATAATCTAAAATAAATGCATTTAATTAGAAACAAATTTAAACTTACAAATAAAAATTGTATTTCTTTACTGCTATCAGAAGATATTTTTAGTTGTAGAGATGTCTGAAATGGGATGCATGGTAATCTAAAACAAAAGATGTCAAAATCTAGTCTGGAACGAATTAAATAATATTTATAGGGGAACCAGATTAGCAGGTCAGAATTATCTACCCGTTTAACGAATTTAAAATTGGTTCGGAATGCCTCGTTCCGGACCAAATGATCAATTTACAAAAGAAAAAAAAAGTTTTTTTTTAATAACAACAAAAAATAGAGGCTATATTACTCAATTTCCCTATTTAGAAATATGGCTAGATTACATTTTCTCTATTTGTTTTACTCTTATTTTAACGAATAATCTTTAATTAACCCGACTATTTTTTCACATAAAAAATGCAGATTATTGAATTTATCGTTTGACACATTTTAAGATAAAATAAAAATACACAACTTTTCTTGAATAAAAGCGGTAAGTAATTAATCATGGATAAAGACAAAAGTTTAATTTGTCATCGTTATTCGTGTTGATCAAATCCAGGTCTTTCTGGTGATCTCCTTCAGGCTCTCAATCTCCACCTGCCGCCAATCCTTAAGACTTGTTTCAGCCCTACGATCCTCAAATGTCTGTAGAAAACCTATCATTTCTGGAACGCTAGGTCAGCTCCTCACCGAATTATCCCTAATTTTTCTGCAATTTTTTTTCTCAATATCTCATAATCAGCACATACAGATTGCTACATGTGTGGATCGTAATAACTTTTTATGCTTTTGATGTTAATGGATTGTTGAACACCTGTGCGAGCATTGAATTCTTCATTGCCGTGGTTTTTTTTTCCAACTGCTACAACCAATTATTTTCTTCTGATTTCAGCGTCACTGTCTTATGGAAAGTTCAAGCTGTTTCTATTCCTTATTGTTAATCTTACTTGTTCCTCTTTCTGCTATGCTATGAGCTGGTAGCCTTCCAAAGAGCATTTCAAGATCTGCTGGCTGTATAATAATAGGTTAGGTGGAGATACTAGGGAGATTTTGGCTTACCAACGGTAGAATTATATGATTAATCAAAGAGATTCATTACAAACAGTTTTGGATTGGATGTTGTTTGCAGGTATCTTATTGCCAATTCCAATCCTAATTACATTTTCTGATTCTAGTGCAGGATTTGTAGTTTCTGTTGAAATGGTACATAGAAGAAACCTCTTTGCAAGCTTTACTTTGATCCAAATTCCAAGTTTCTCAAGATGCAATTAATGTCAGATGACAGTCCAAGAGAAGGCTCTTCAGAAACAGAACCCATCTTAAACGAGTCTAGAAGTGCAGATGGAATTGACAATCATTCATCTACATTTGAAATAAGAACTGAAGGTAGCAGTGATTGTTCCATATCTGTTGAAGATTCACAAAGTTCCGATGCCAATGAAAATACTAGTCTGGTTGCTTCAGACCAACCACAGTGCCGCATATGCCTTGATACAGAAGGTCTGTTTTTCTGTAACTCCATAGCTCTTCCTTCTTCATAAACTTCAAATTTCTGTTACGAAGATTCATTTCTTATCCTGTTTAAATGATTCACAGGAGATGATTTGATTGCACCATGTCATTGTAGAGGCACTCAGAAATATGTCCACAGGTCATGTCTAGACAATTGGAGGTCAACCAGGGTATGTTCTATTCTAAACCATGTTAATAGCACTAACTTGATTCTATTGATTACAGCTGATGTGTGTCCACCATTGTTACAGGAAGGATTTGCTTTCTCTCATTGCACAGAATGTAGGGCAGTGTTTATACTACGTGCAAATGTCCCTCCTGATAGATGGTGGTTGAGATTGAAATTTCAATTGCTGGTTGCTAGAGATCATGCATTCATTTTTGTCATTGTTCAACTCGTATGCAAAACTGCAACTCATTTATCTTATGATCTTATCTTTGTATGTTCTTGATACCATTTGGTGTTATAACATAAGAAATTTGTTTGGACACTTTGAGCAGATTGTGGCGTTCTTAGGTGTGTTGGTGTACAAATTTTATGGAGATGAACTGAGAGAAATGTTTGGATATGAAGAGCACCCTTATGGGTTTTATACCATGGCTGGTGAGTTCGATTCTCTCTCTTTGCTTGTTTTACATTTTAGTGGAAATTAATTTTTAGGCTTTTGTATTTTGATTGTTTAGATTCATGTTATGTTGTGTAATTTCAGTGCTAGCAATTGTTTTGGTGGGGTTGCTGTATGGGTTTTTTATAGCCATAATATGTGGACAACGAATCAATGAACGACACTATCACATTCTTGCCAAACAAGAACTCACAAAGGTTAACAACAGCATGCTAATTTTTATATATATATATATATATATATATATATATATATATATATATATATATATATATATATTATAAGTTTTTGTAATTGTTAAATTTATATTGAGGAAAGTTGGTTGCTATAATAGGAGTACATTGTTGAAGACAGAGAGTTGAACAAGGGTGTTACTGAACTTGACCCCAGTCATGTCACAGAGCTAAGAATGTTGGGTCTGTATTGAACATTTGTATATTCATATATGAGATTTGAGAGAGAGAGAGAGAGAGAGAGAGAGAGAGAGAGTATCATTATGTTGTGTTTGTTGTACATTTATTTTCACACGTACAACATATGATTATTGATTGATTTATATTTGTTTGGTGTGGGGGAAGTGTCTAGTTATTATTTTTTTTTTTAACTGTTTATGAAGCAATGCATCTTTCTTGATGTAAATATTAATTAATCCGCATGGATAGTCTGTTGTTATAAAATTGGATCAGTTTGCTTGTATACGAATTAATTAATGTTTGGATTACGTATTCATGCAAATTACGTCGTTCGCAATTTTGGAATCATGAGAGGAAGAAGAGTATGCTATTATCTAGTTTTGACTTTTGATAGTATAAATTTTTTAACGGTCCTTTTAATACTCTTTATTTGCTAGACTAGTGGCTATGGACTAGGGGTATGCACCAACCCGTACAAACCGCATAAACAGCCCGCACCACACCACACCGTATAATACGGTTTAGAACTTTTGTGGTGCGGTTTTCAATTACAAAGCCACGGTTTAAACCGCACCGCATGTATGTATATATATATATATATATATATATATATATATATATATATATATATATAAGTGTATTGTTTCATCACTAGTAATAATTGTTTGATTATAAGTTTGTAACAGTTAAAATGTTGGTACGGATAAAAATGGTATGTTAATTAGCTTAAAATTAGTGAATATAGTCATACCATAGGAATTAATTATCAAATGTATTAAGGAAAGCAATTTGTTTTTGAGTTTTTTGCAAAACATTTCTAATTTCTAGTTTTATATCTCAAAAGATCAAATTGTTTTTTAGATTTTTCAAAAGTTATAAAATGTAGCAACTTTTAAAACCGCAAAACCGCACTTAAATCGCACAAACCGCACAGCATAACACGGTTTTGAATTTATGCAGTGCAGTTTGTGGTTTCAAAAAAACTCAAACCGCATATGCGGTGCGGTTTGCAATTACAAACCGCACCAAATTGCACCGCGCACACCCCTAGTACTATGGACAACTAATTAAATAGTGTTATCACATTAAAAAATTATCACCTTATATACCATGTCAATCATGATGTTATAACATTTAGCGAATGAAATCAACAACATACAATAACACCTTTAATTTTCCATGTAATCATTTTTTTGACTTTTTTTTTTCAATTTATTTATTTTTTAATTTTCCAATTTATTTTTTTCATTCATGTTAGATTATTTAAAAAAAAACAAAAATGCAATTTAATTAAATACTAAATTAATTATAACATTTAAAATCTAAAAATAACGTTACATAAAAAAACATTAAATACAAAAAAAAGTCTTAAAAACATAAAAACGATACAATAGTCATCTAAATATTTTTTTTCAAGCATCTAATTCATCTTTTGGAGCACTTGTACTTGTCATGGTCTTATATTTTTCTTCGTTAGTCCGGAGAATTATTAAATTCTTCGCTATTTAATTTTTCTCTGCTTGCTTACGAAGAAACTATATGTGCTCACGTTGCACATCAACTTTTTTTGTTGTGCGATTAGATTGTGTTGGTTGAACTTTGCTTTCATTTTCGCCAACTCTTGTGCCCTTCTCTCGGCTTCATCCGCGTGTCGTTGAGCACGCTTAGCTTTGTCACGCCCGATTGGTCGACAAGAAGGGGGGTGGGGGGAGATCTCTTCAATGTTGTCAGGGGTATCATCCATTTCGTCGTTGAGGTCGATGTTAGTTCGTACGTCGGAAACGTCAAACGAAATATAATTGCGAGACCTCTTTGATTATGCCTCCGACGATGTTTGCGCCTTAATCCATTTTGGATCTTTTCTGACAGCCTCATATTTTTTTTCAAACTTGAAAGCGTGCCCCGTTTCGATGTTGATATTGTTCCGTCGCAACTTTATACATATCAAAACCATTCGCACCACTTTGCTTTTGCGATTCGGGTCTCATGAAAATCTCATTAAACTTGGTGCACCGACGATTAATCAGAGCCCACTTGCTACTAAGCATATCAATATTGTGACATGCCTACTTCTTCAAAATCGTGTGTAATTTTCCAAGCACGACTTCCAAAACCTAACTGTTTGCATATCATTTCCAACGGTTGGATTCTTTGAAGTCCCGTACCACGCCACCGTGAACGTGTACTCCTCCTCCGGTGTGCACCATAGTGGAGGTTCTTCTTCACCTTTTGTGACTGCCTTTCCTTTTCCTTTTCCTTTTCAGCCTACCTCTCTCTTGCATTTCCGGAACAATTCTTGTGTTGGTTGTGTGGTTTTTGTGGCATGGAAGCGAAAATACTAAAAATGTTTTGTTGGAGATTTGGGTTTTGTTGCATGTATATCGATGTAGAAAATTGTATTGGGATGAGTTGGGATTAAACTAGTTTCATTGAAATGATATTTGTGGTGAGTTTGTGTTGAAAGGTTCATATTACTCTCATATTGTGTGAACCCCATCGGAGTGGATGTGTTTGTGTTTGGAGAAGGGATGTTCAGGTTTTTTCTCCATATTTGGTTGAATGGGAAAGTTGTTGATTTTTGTGTAGTAAGATGAGAGAAATAGAAGATTTATGCAGGTAAAAAATAAAGTGTATGTATGTATTTATATGTGAGGTAATTTTTTTTTCCGACCGTTCATCAACGATCCTATATGTGACCATTACATTGAAATGCAATCCAAAAACACCCATTGTCTCTCGTTACCAGGAAAATGCCTAGCAATGTAACACATGAAAACTCATTGTCAGGCGGTGTTTCGTGTGTGATAATGGCGTTAAGTCGTGCCAAATAAAAAACGTCCGATGGCGTTACCCATACCATGCAATCTTATGAAATGTTTATAGATATATGTCAAAAATACAATATTCTATAGACAAAACTGTAAAAATGGTCCCTGTGGTATGCATTTTTTGGGGTTTTAGTCCAAACCGTGACTTTTTTGGCTTCGTGATCCTTTTAGACTAGTTTGTATGTAAAAATGATCCCTCCGAAAATTGAAATGACTAAATTGCCATCTTGATATATTTTTTTTAATGTTTTTTCTATTTAATTTAATGTTTTATTAATAATAAAATGGGGCCCACACCCCCCTCTCTATCTCTCTCAGCTGATTGTCTTTTTCCCCAACTTTGAAACCTACATCTTCACCACGCCTCCTCCTTTATTCCCACGATCGATCATAGATCAGAAGACAAATAGTGTGGAGCTACCCTTTTTGTTATTGATCGATCATACAGAAAAAAAACAATATCGGAGAGAAGCAAAGAAATCTGGTTATTGCTAAGTGAACTGATCAGAAACGATAGTATACAGGAACTGATCAGAAATGGAGTTGTTGGTGGTCAAGTAATTGAAAATTTTGTCACAAACTTATTTCAGAATATGAAGCTTCTACATCACATGGGTTAGGTTAATTTATCTGCAGAACTCGATAACCCAAGCTCTCCTTCCTCGCTTTGAAACCTGCAACTCAACCTCTCCTTCAACTACCACATGTTATGTGAGGAAGATGGTGCACCCACCTGCAGATGAAAACTATGATCTAGTTCTGATATGGTTTCTCCTTCATCGAATCGTCATCTTCTCCGTTTGTTGGTTATCATCTAATAAAACAAAACACATACACATACATACTGAGATCAATTCGATTTCAACAACAAATGTAGTAGAAGGCATCACCGATTTAACTTTATGCCAACCACAAACCGCTTTCTCCGCTATATTCTTCAAACTCACTGCAAGAGAAATCGAAGGCAGATAAACAAATGCATCTCAACAACAAACCCTGTTTCGCTAATGATTTCCAATATGCTATTTAATCTCACAGATTCTTTCAAACTCTCACACGTTAAAAACTGAAAAATGTCTCCAATGTCGCGCCAAGTAGTTAGGGATTTCAGAATCGTACCTCTTAGGGCTAAAATAGCTCAACGGGGACTGCTTGGGTAGATTAGGATGAAATTTGATAAGACGTTAGAGCGATACCATTCGAGATATGCACCATAGATTGATCTGTTGTGTTCATCAAATAGGGTTTAGGAGACTTTGTATATGAAGGGGATGAACCATTTTGTGCACATCGTTGGAAACGAGTTTTAATCCGCCGATAACTAGTTTAGGTGCTTATGAGAGAGAGAGAGACAGAGAGAGAGATTTCTTAAATTTTTAATTATAAAAACAGATAAAAAAAATGAAAAAGAAATACCTCAAGGGTATTTTAGTCTTTTGATTTTCCGAGGGACCAAAACTACAAGCAAACTACCGACCACCGATCCAAAAAAGTTGTGGTTTGGACTAAAATCCCCAAAAAAATTGCATACCACAGGATATTTTTGCAATTTAGTCTATTCTATAAAATATTATACTAAAATAATAGTTTATACTAATAATTCATATGTATAAGATTTTTCAATAAACATACTAAAATTGGCCAAAAACACATTTTACATGGCAAGGTCCCCTACCAAATCTTTGTGGCTGTTTTTAGTTTTTTTTTTCTCGAAAACTCCTAAACATGTACATTATTATATAATAGGGATAATAACTTTAGAGTGCTAACAATTATCATTTTTGTTTATATTTAGTCATGTTTTATATCGGTTTGTTTTTGTTTTTCAAAAAATATATATGTTATTATATGTTTAACCAGTTTCCAATGACTCCAATTATCTTTTCTGACTAGTTTCTAACAAACATAAAATTTTTAGTGAGTTATTGACACATCATGAAAACATGCACCTCAGAAAACCAGAAAAACCCACCAAATCTTCATCTCTAAGAGACCCATAAAAACTCGAAGCTTCTCTTCACCTTCAAGAATTCGAAAACCTAGAAAAAAACCCATTAGATCCGGAAGCCCGATTTTTATATGGGTTTTCATTTCCAAAAACTTGAAGTATTTCTTCATGGGTTTTTGACCCAATATGTAGAAGTGCATGTTTGGTTGTCACTAAGGAAAACTCATGTAAGTTGGACATTCAGTGGACAAGATGATTGGACATTCAGTGGACAAGATGATTGGAGATGCAAAGTCATTGAAAACCCGTTAAATGAGAACATGTAATACAAGTTTAACGATAAATAATGTATAATAATCCTCACAATGATATTTTTTGAAGTTCAACAATAAATAATATAGTAGAAATAACTAAATATTAACATAAATAAAAATTTGTTATCTTCAAAAGTCATTATTTCTATATAACACCATAATTTATTATTATTATTATTATTATTTTTAATTTTATAGTTGTCCATAGGAATGAACCGGTTTCTGTTGGAATTGGCCCAATATTTGATAAGGATCCGGGTCCGGATAGTTACGCTCGCGACACGTGAGTAAATATACAATCGGAATCGTAGAGAACTAGATCCAAGTTTAGGGTTAGGGTTTCACCGAGTCAATCAATCTGAAAATGGCGATGAGGCAAATTCTCAACGAGATCAGAGGGATGAAGGTGAAAGATGCGGCGGCGCACGTGAAGCCGTTGCTCACAGTGAGCAACTTGAAGACATCCACACAGAGAGCATTGGATAATTACCATGTCAAATACATTCAAACCGACTCCATCCAACCTCTCTATCATCTTTGCTTCGGCGGCATGATCTTCTCCTACCTCATCGCCCTTCCAGAGGAGCGCCGTCACCTTGAACACCAGCAGCACATCAAGGAGCACGGTGGCCATTGATTGCTGCAACAATCTGCACATCATATTCAAGGTGGGTTCTACATTGATTGTTCGATTCCCTTTTCTTTTTGCTCTTTTGTTGCATAACCGTTTATCGAATGTTTGGGGCGTGATCAATTTTAGCAAGTCTATGGTCACTTGTTGTTTTTCTTCATCTCTCGCTCAATTTTACATATTTTTAGGTTCATAAAAATCTATACTGAGCAATGATATCTTAAAAAGCACCAGCATCGATCCTCTGCAAATTCACTGGGTTTTGATTACATCTGATAAATTCAAATAGGATTCTGGTGCTACTTTGCAGAACATTATAATATATGTTGAGAGGTGGTATTTCGGGTTCTTGTTGGTAGAATGTCAGTTGTAGAGCCCTAGCTTGTTAATTACATGTATGTTTCAGTCCAATATAAATGCCATATTTCCCTTAATTCATATCTAAGTTAGTGAGTTTAGTTTCTCTATTCTTCTATTCTAAGGTGTAACAGTTGTGTTTTATGATTGCAGTGATTGTGATTGGTCTCTTTCTGGTGTTATGGAGGATTGGAAATGGAGTTTGTAGATTGTTTTGTGTTGTGCTATGTTGATGATCCACATCCACTCTAAATAAATTGTTGAGATTTGAAACTTAACAGCGTTTATTAGCTTTTGAATTAAATCATAAATGTAAGCAATTTTTGTAACATCTAACATTGATTTGTGGCTGTCTTTCAAATATTAATTTATGCAATGAAAAAAAAAGTAATTGTTTGATAATTATGGTGTTTGGCAAAGCAAGAGCTTTTGAGGTTTGAGAATTTTAGCTTATAAGAAAAAGTCCTGAATTAAAAAGAAGCTTTGTAATACGTGTTTAAAAGTTAAAACTTTTTATTTTAGAACAAAAGTTATTAATATAAAAAGCTGTATTTGACAAAACTAGTTGTTAGTTGAATAGTTGGAATCTAATAGCTAAAAGATGTAACTATTAGAGAAGTTTGGCAAAAATAATTGGAATCTGAAACTTTTATTTGTATACAAGTTTTATGCAAAAGTTTCCTTAAACTCTTCAATGTTAAAATCACTCAAAATCTGAAATGTGAAACTGGCTATACAAACTAAAAACCCTTGGAAGCTCATCAAAGTGACTTTTGGACTCAGCTTCATTCTATTTAAAATATAACTTTATAAGCTAGTACTTTTCCATCCGAACTTTTCTTTTTAAATTAAAGTTTTTGTACAAAAAGCTAAGATGTGTTTTGTTGTGAAAATGTATTTTTATTTTTTAAAAGAAAATTGAGTTTTTATTTTCAGTTTTCAATAAAAAATTTAGAAAACGTGTTTTGTTGGAACCGAAGAATTTTTAATTTCCATATTAAAAATTTAGAAAAGTTTGAAAAACTGTAAAAATCAAATTTCTAATTTACATGCAATTTAAAAAAAAAGAAAATTTCATTTTCTTAGAAAATTTCTGAAAATTGTATCGATCAAACTCATTTTGAAATTTTTTATGGAAAACTAGATTTTTTTTTCAACCAAACTCATTTTGAAATTTTTTATGGAAAACTAGATTTTTTTTTCAACCAAACACACGCTTAGAGTGCATTTGTTTACATAAAATTTTCTAGTTTTCCATAAAAACTTTCATATGAAAACGAAAATTTTGAAAACAAGTTTGGTTTGTTTAGTTTTCAAAAACTTTCCAATAAAATGATAATTTTATGTTTTCCAAATTGTACATAAAATTTTAAAAATGATTTTTAAAGTTTTCCAAATTTCTAAGATAGAAAATGAAAACTTTACTGGTTCCAATAATACATGTTTTTCTAAAATTTTCGTTGATAACTAAAAACGAAAACTCTTTATTTTTTTAGAATATTTTCTTGGAAATTGAAAACAAGTTTTAACAACCAACACATCATAATTTGTTTTAAATGCTTACCGTTGAACATACACTTCAAGTAATATTTAGGCTTTGACCCTAAATGTCAGGACGTGCCTACGTGGCACATGTTATGACACACAAACACCATCCTTCCTTGTGTGTCGTGTCTATTGCCATGGGCTGTAACGTGAGAGGCCTCTCTCATCCTCTTCATTCTCTTTTCTGAGGTGATGACCAAGTCCGCTATGGCATGGTGTGAACGCATTACTAAGTAGCGGAAGGGTGTTGCACGAGAGAGTCGCTAATACCTTAAAGTCTTAGGAGCTCACAACTACAAGTCTACAACTACGTTATCAATTGTTGCCGACATACTCTCCGTAATTTTATATATTTCAAAAGATATATTTCAAAGCTTACAGATGCTAACATTGTTGATAACTATCAACGACCAATTATTTTTACCACATATATCCTTTGTCTTTCTTTGATTGAATGACCTTTCTTTTGTTTTATATAACTATGATACATAAATAAATATTTTAGTTTTTTCGTTGAAAGACAGTAAATGATTATTTCGTCTGGAAAATGGACATGTATTTATTGATTCTTCTAAATATAAGTTTTAATAAATTCATTTATTAAAATAAGGCACGTTTGATAAATTCAAGGTATATCCATTTTGGGATTACCATTTTGAATATGTTTAAAGACATTTTGAGAAATGTTCGATCCAATTTTTTTTTTTATTAAAAAACACACATAATATATTTATTAAAATGTGCAATGGTCATTTCAATAATAAGGGTAATTTTTGCAAATGTCCAAAAATTAGGGTAATGCAGTTTTTTTTTTTTTTTTCGTTTTCAATTTCAGAAAAATAATTTAAAAACGTATTTAGTTAAACCTTACTCATTTTTCATTACATTATTATGTTCTTAAAATTTTCTAAATTCTTTGTAATTTTAAAAAACGAAAAATTTTCATTTTCTATGAAAACTTTATTAAAAATTGAAAATTATCATTTTTCATATAACTTTTTTTAAGAAAATGTCTCATTTTTTCATAACTAAACACACCCCAAGTATTTTCAGCTACTCATAAATTCATGCAATCATTTATACAGTTATCCCTCGATTTAAAAGTACTTGGAACTATAGTGTAATAGAATTGTTGATTCATTGTAAAATTATTTTTTTCCTATTTCTCATATTTTTCTTAATCTGATTTTCTCCTATTCAAAAATTTTCCATTGTCTCAATAACAAATGCACGGTGTCAAACGAAATACATTCAAAAATCTGAACAATTATAACACTGCTACTTTATAACATCAAATCAGTCAAAATTGAAAATCAGACACTCTACATCTGAAGATTCCGGATTTCTTTTAACCCCATTGCGTATTTGTTTATGAGCTCTTATTTGTTTTGGGAAGACATGTTTGTCCATTACGAATACTTAACATCTATTGTTATCAATGGTATGCAGATACATCACAGACATCTAACAGAAAGTCCCTTTTAACACTTTCCTTCATGAGTAGTATTATGAGAGTTGGCCACGTCACTATTTTGACCATGTTTTTACTCCTACCCCCTTTTATTTACCACTCTCTTACAAAAAAGGAAAAAAAAAAAAAAAACTCAAAAATAATAAATGATAAATTTTGTCAAAACTTGTGTTCACCACCTCTTCGAATCAAGTTCCACAATGCTGTTTTGGCTTCCTCAAGTGTCTCAACCCCATTCCCTTCCTCAAACGCTAACCTCTGTATATTAAACTGCCACACAAACAAACATCATTAACTTCTCCAAAAAAAAACATGTTTTATTATAATTAATGATTAATAATTAATATTATTACCTGTGCACCTTGACGAACACGAACATCTGTCCCTTTGCTATCTATTGATATCAATGCAGCATCATCCACCTCTGTTTCCATTGACAACAACTCCTTTAAGGGCTTTGAAAACATGGCATTCAGCTCCTGAAATATAACATTCTCTTTAGTTAAATTTACACAACCAACCCTCAACTATCACCAATATGCTAAAACACCCCCTCAAGTCATCACCTTCAGATTCTGTTCACCTCCATCCACAGCAATCTTGTCAGGTCGAAGAGCCTCATATTCCTTTACATTCACCCAAGCAACTGTCCCAAAACCTCCAATAAAATATATATCACTGCTTCAATCAAATGTCAAAAGTCAAAAGTCAAAAGTCAAACCATACATCAATCACAAAATTCAAAAAGTCAAAAACAGACCTTATATTCTGCATTCTGAAGTAGTAAAAGTTTCCCCATTGCTGTGATGGCCCTTGTTGATGTTTTGATATATACTGCTTATGAGCCCATTCCTTAAACACAAAAACCATATTTCATTTTTCTTTCAATTCCCTAAAATCAAGAAAATTCACCACTAAAGTTTGATTATTGATGTTTTTAAACCTGTTGATCTTCAGGAAGGGGATAAACATCACCAAAAATAGTGACTCTTGCATTGGATAAGCCACTCCATCCAGGTATCTATCAAGAAAACTGTGAGAAAAAGGGTGTATATGGAAAGACCAACATACTTAAAGATAGTGCAAGATAGCATGCTAACCTGCACCACTAATGTACACTTTGGATCAGCTAATAAGTTTCTTGTGTGTATAGCTAATGGAGAAAAGGAAAATATTGGATCTGCAAGTAAAAGTTATGATAAAATCATGTCATTATGAGAATAAACTAAATTTAGAACAAGGAAAAGATAAAAATCAACTTACGCCCCATTGCATCTGGTGCAAAGTCTACCAGGGAACCAAACGGGTATCCTTCACGACGATGGTGCATCCGTGACATTACAGTACACAAGTGAGCAAACCTTGCCTTTAAGTTCAAAATAGTGAAGAAGATCACAAATTTTGAAGGTGATTGAGAAAACAAGTACACCATATCACATGATTCACATCAAAATAGTTGGGGAAAAGAGTATCTGTTTACCTGTTCCATGAGATTGCGAACTGCTAGGGCTGGTCTAGGTAAGTCATGAACAGAGGTTGCGCTCTGTACACCTCCAGAAATTGGGGTTCGGAAGAGCCCAGCCCTAGTGCCTCCTGCACTTCCAGCTCCATGTGTGCTTGTTGGTGTTATCATTTCTGATGTGCTCTTTAAGTCTTCTATTCCATGAGTTTGAACCAAGTTATCCTTCAGAAAATGTGAGAAGCCATCACTACACAGCTTGAGCAGCCGATTGATGTATCGATTCATAAACTACATCACATGAAAAGGATTTGTGCTCCTTCATTCAAGTTCTACTTACCATTCGTTTTTTTTTTTTCTTTTGGATTACTTAAGATACGTGACAAGCGATTTTTAGTGACGGTTTTGTTAGGAGACACAAATGCACACGACAATCTAAGAAATCCAGTAAAATGAAAAGCTTGATACCAGAGAAAAAGATGAAGGTTGTTCAGGAACCAAGGCAAAAGCATTATCAACAAGTGGTTGTACTTGTTCATCATCTTCTCCGTCGCCTGAAACTTCGCGAGCAACAGCGGCAATAACTCGAGATCGGAATCCCGGAAGCGTGGTTTTGGGGAAGCAAAAGTTTAATCTGAGCGAAGCAGAAGAGGTAGAGGAGGAGCGCGTCTCTTGAAAGGGCGGAATGAAGACAGAGCTTGAAAGAGCTTCCATGGAGCAAGAACGAAAGATTATATAAACAGGAAAGGGGCTATAGTTTGGTGAAGGTGGGAGTAGACATGATCATGAAGTACGCTTGAGCTTAGCAGCAAGAATCGGAGCAAGGGTTTTGCAGGAAAGAGATTGTAGGAAAAGGGAAAAGGAATAAAGTGGAAACTAGAAAGTTGGCCCGTTTAACCTAACATGGGTTGGGTTATAACATTATCGGGCCAGGCTTTTTTTTGGGCTTTCGTTATATAGTATGAAAAATATTTCTACATCATTCAGCGTTGTAAGTTGTAACTAATATATTGTTGCATTTGGGGTTATTATTGAAATCGGGTAACAACCTATATTTCATTATTAGTTCTAATTTGGGTTTCGTTATGCGTGTGTATGTAGCAGATGTTGTGTCATGTTGAAGCGTCACGTATTATAATATATGAATATCATCCCATTTTGTGTTATGTTGGGTTATGTTTGACATGAAGTTAGGGATTGTTAACTAGTAACATTCTCTCTCTCTCTCTCTAATATTTTTTAATTAAAAAAAGTGTTTTGGGCTGTGGAATGGTGGGTATTTGCTCCAGTAAGTGTCGCAGATACCAAATGGTTTTTGGTTTAACGGTAATAAACGATTCTCTTAACTGAGAGGTCATGAGCTCAAGTATCATTAGAGACATGTGGTAATTTAGGATTAGTTTATTTTTTCGTTACAAAAAAAGTGATATTGATATGGTGTAGAGGTGATATGGTGTTAATATTGCAAGTACAACATATAACCTTATTTCTTAATGCTTTCATATTTTTTGTCCACATGACATATATATATGTCATCCACATCATCTTCAATCAAGAATAACTATTTTCATCAAATATAACACCTACACCTAACATAATCAAACCATTTCCATGTAGATTTCATTTTTATTTCCAAGTTCATATATATCTCAACAACAACAACATAACAATGATTTCAATAAATTTAGATGCAAAATCATACCTAAAATCAAAAATAGACATGAGGTTCAAAATAATCCCATATGTTCCTATGAAGTTTCGAAATCAAATACCCATCACTTTAATTTGAAGCCTCAGTGAAGCGAAGAGAAATTGGTCGTTTCATCTTCGTTGGAGATGATGTGCTTCATCATTTTTGATGGTTTTGTTTATAATGCAAAAATAATGAGTGTCGAAATAAGAAAGCAACACAGATACCAAACGAACAAAAAGAAGCAATATTGTTTGTTAGCAATTATTACAAATATTAGGGTGTCAGGATCCTGAAAACTAAAATAATATACATCTTAATCAAAGTATATATATATATATATATATATATATATATATATATATATATATATATATATATATATATATATATATATATACACACACACTAGTTATGAGACCAATATATTACATGAGTTAATTTAAAAAAAAAAAGTTAAATATAAAAGTCAAAATAATTGAGAACTTTAAATTTATAAGAAAATAAGAAAATAATGAATTATTATAATGGAAATATTTTTTTATTATTTAAATTTAAACAAATAATTTAAATAAAGAAAAAAAGTAGTATATATATATATATATATATTATATATATATATATATATATATATATATATATATTACTTAAATTAGTTTTTAATTTTTTTTTCAAATATACTCCTTAATTAATTATAGAAAATATTCATTTAAATGTTATTTTATATATTTCAACTATCTTTTCAGTTAGTTTTACAAAATATTATTTTTTATCAGTTATCAACTAACTTTTTACTTAACAATTAGCTTTTCAGCTATCAACTACTTTTCAGCTAACAACTATTCTTTTTAGTTGATACGTCAAACATAATCTTAGTATCAATTAGGGTAAAGGTAGTGATAATATCCTTAGCACACTTTCACCTCAGTTTAACAAAATGTCACCTTATCTTTTGTGCTACCTGCTTAATAACATGTTCTACTTTAACATTTTTTAGAAAGTGGTAACACATTGGATGTACTTTTTTTTCAAACTTAAACAAATTCTATTTTTATAAAACACAAACATTTCCTATTAAATAAAAAAAGTTTCAATAAACTAAAACTTAAAATACCAATTGAGAAATTAAAATATGACTTAATACCTAGAAACATGACTACATACATAAAAAACAATGCATCATATCTAAAGCAACGAGATTTCGTCCGAAAATTAGCCTTCAATTCAACTTCGGGTGACATATTAAGATCAAGGATCTCATGCGTCCAAAGATGGTCGATCAAATGACGATGAAGATAAGAATGAATTAGTGCATTGTTTACTATCCCCATTCTTTGTATCCATTATTAGAGACCATATTTTAATGGTTGTGTCTTGGGGATGACTTGATTCTCGTCGTAGTCACATATTGTGTTTCCTTCATGTTTTATTATTATATTATGTAATATAATACATGTATATGTATCACCTTTATTCTAGTTTTTATCCCACACAACATTGATTCTTTGACAAGTATTTGTCAATGCTTTTTAAGTGCTCCAAACGCTTGTTCGACATCTTTCCTCAGTTTTTTTTAGAGTATCTTAAATCTTTATCTTTGAGGGTCATTCAGACACGACAAAGTTTTAACAAAAACTAAATGTTCAGGATAGATCCCATCGACAATATAGTGACTGAATTTGTATCCCGTTCTTCGGAGTACAAATAACACACGGAATACAACTATATAATTTTGAATTGGATTAAACCCTAACATACCTCTTGCTTCCGAACATTGCCAGATATTACCTAACGCTCCACACACGCTTTCGACAATAGATATAAACAAATCTTTATGCATTAAGAACTGCATATAGAAATAATATCCTTTAAAGAGAGCATGCTTGTCAAAATAATCACGCTTGAGACATTGGTGAGCTGCTTCACGATCTGTTTGTATTTCATGCTGGTAATTGCTTCTTCTAGCATATTATGTACGCCAATGGCTGCTTGTAATACAGTCTCAAGAGCATCGCCTGAGAAAGATGATAATGATCACATTTTTTTAAATGCTTGTAATACAGTCTCTGAATATCACTTATTGTCATCGATACATCACCCGTCACCATCTGCACCTCCTTTTGTCTATATAACAGCCCCACAATTATACAATCATCGATTTTAGTTGATTGTTTTGCCCTAGTTTTTGAGAAGCATCCTTCGGTATGAATTGCTACAATAACTTAATAAATGGAGTCACCAGAGAAAAAGTTTTCACTTGTAACCAGGTTTCACTTAATGGAGTTAGAGAACGAAGAAAGATAATTTGTTAATGAAACAAATCTAGGTCTGATTTAGAGTTTTCAAGTTTTGATTTCAAAGAAACATGTAAATCTAGATGATAAATATACAAATGATGAACACACATACCTTTGAACATGGATTTCTTGGGTTTTCAAGGTCCAATTTCAAGGTTTTCACGTCCGATTTTGAGGAAGAAGATGGTGCCTGATGGCTAGAGGTTCATTTTTTTTCTTCTGATAGGACTTGTTTTCAAAAAAAAAAAAAATTGGGTAGTAATTGTGTTTATGATAGCGATGATTTAAATTTTAAGTCCGATTATACTTAGTATCCAAAAAATGTCGAATAAGATATTATTATTAAGTATGGTTACACTTGGTTTTGATGATGGATGATGGTAGATTTCTAGGATTCCACTTGATGAACATAGGAAGAATAAATAGATTTTTTTTTTCTGTGAATAACATCGAGAACATATCGATTTTTTATATTTGATTTGGTTTGAAATGATGAACTGAAAATGGAGATCGTGTGATTGTGTGGTAAGATGATTTGAGGAATACAAATTTGTAATGTTTCAAAAACACAATGAATATAGAGAACGGTATTGTGATGATATGAAGAATGAAATACAGATGAAATAAAGATCTACTTTTTAAGCTCCGATGGAATGTGTATTACGGAGGAGATACTTGATGGGTCAATATTAATCAAAGTCAAACTTATGGACCTTTAGGTGTATACGATGTTTAAAGAAGAAGAATGAATAGTGCTTTTTTGGGTTTTGAGAGAGAGAGAGAGAGAGAGAGAGAGAGAGAGAGAGAGAGAGAGAGAGAGAGTAATATTTTCTTTTTGTTATTTCTTTAAATTTATGCAATAAAGGAAAAATAAGAAAACAAACTATGAATGGTAAATCAGTCATTTTTAGTTTTTGTAAAAACATTTGGACCAAACATAAAATAGAATTCATTTTTAGGTTCAGTGGTGCAACTCCAAAATATTTTGGACCAAACATTCAATTTTTAACATACCATAGGGACCAAACCTATAATTTTGTATTTAAACTTTACTTTGCTTTACTTTTTTCAATATATTGTTTGATTATATTTCTTCTAAGGGATCATGACTTAAGAGGGTAACCAACTATACCCTTTGTACATATTTAGTCACTTAACTTTTTTTGGTGTTCTGTTAACCGTTAAACTTGTTTTTTTGTTTAAAACATACCATTATGAACGACCGTTGTAGGTTTAGGCGGTCAAGTTGAATTTTCCGGCAAAAATATGAATTTTCCGGTGAAACTATGAACACATCTAATGAACCTGATGAATGTATTCATGGAATGCAACCTGAAACTGAACCCCAGGTTCGTGTTCTTGTTCTTGGAAAGATTTCTGAAACCCTAGAAATAAAAATCAAAGTTGATGAACAACTTGAACTCAAAGCTGCCATGGAAATCGATTTAAAGAAAAGACCTTATCTGAAATCGAAGTTGATGAAGGGTTGGCCTTGATTTTCTGGTTTCGATTGCAATAATATAAGGTCGAAGAAACATCAAGAAGTTCCTCATTTCCATTAACGAACCTACAACACCTTCATTAACGAACCCACAACACCTCCATTAACAACCTGCAACACTTTGATTTTCTCCATTAATGAACTTACAATACCTCGATTTTCTTGAACTCTTCATCGATGGCAGATTTCGATTTTGTTTCTCGGAACCCTTCATTTTCCTCAAGTTTAAACCTTTCATCCATGACAAATTTTGATTTTGTTTCTGGAAGCCTTCATCTTCCTTGAGTTCGAACCCTAACTCATTTCTGATGATGAACAAACTCTAACAAGAATAAAATATTTGAATCATTTTGTGTGTGTGTGTTCTTCAGCCATGAACACATAC